GATAACATCGCCTTGCGGACGCCCGTCCTGAGCCTTCGCGCAATCTGCGACAGAGGACCTAGGCAGCCAGTACGCCCGACCTCGCCACCCTTGAGCCTCTTCCCGTCGCCCACACGCACCTCGGCCATGTCGTTGTCTTGTACACGACCCGACCATTCGATACTCGGACTGCTTCTATCGCGGACTGAGCCAGTTGCTCCAGGTCGTATGCCCCGGGCAGGCGGCCCCAGTGCCCGCTGTTAAAGACGAGGACGTCGGGGTTGAGGAGCGGTACGACATCGGTGAAAAGCCCGTACACGTCGTGCACCCAATGCGGATCTTGGTCACAGGCCCCTGGCTCGCAGCCTCTTTGCCGAGATGGGATCGAAGAAGCCTCTTTTTCTTCAAGAAGATGCAGCGTGGAAGTCAGGGGCATGGCCGAAGCATCAGACCGCACCGACGTCTTCTCTTGGAAATGCCGCCCTTCCCGATACAAGTTCCTCCACTCGTCCACGTCGGGTGTCTGGCCATAACGTTTCGGAGCCCGATCTAGCCGAGGCGGAGGCACGGAGACGTTCAGCCAGGTAAGGTTGTGACCCTGATGCCCACATGCGGGGTTGAACCATTGAAAGAAAGTGACCCAGACGTCCAGTACTTCGTTGTGATAGTATCGATTTTCGATGTTCCCTCGGCGTTCCGCAGGTTCCTCACGGTAACAATCACAGATCTCCCTTCCATTAAAGCGTGCGTTGGTGCCCTGTGATAGAGTGAGCCACAGACATTCTGACTTGAAAAACAACGCGCAGTTTTCACCTCTTCCCGTCGCATCGCATGGGATGTGCAAGTCCTTTCAACACATAGCCCGCCGAGGTTACCTGGTAGAATGGCAGCCACCCCTTCCACTGAAACTCGTTCTCCAGCTGCGGGTCCGGTCCACCCCATACGCCATTTTCCAAGAAGTTGACAAGGTTTAGGTATTGATATCTGACAAATGTTTCGTTGAAAGGAATTAAGTACATCGTACCCAGTACCCCAACCGGCGGGAAAGGGATGGCAATTACAATTTCGAGCACGATGGAATCTCACCTGGTCAGACTGTCCCCCACCATAACAATGCTCTTGTTACGCAAGCAGGAAAGCGCTGCTGTCCGGTCTTCAAATGATTGCATGTCATACCCGTCAACGACCAGTGTGCAAGCGGCTACACCTGCTCCAGGGCCCGTTACGTTTCTCGCCCCATTCGCTTCTGTAGTAGCTGCAATTTCACGTTGGTTCTCGACTTTCCACAAATAGTGGAGCTCCTCCGACTCGAATGACTTCCGATCAGTCAAGAGGAAAGGAGCCACTGGAACCATAGGTGGTTTGATCTTGAAAATAATTGTGCCGTACCAGCGGGACGCTCGTGTTCTGCCGGTTTCACTGAACGCAGCCAAAATGAAAGCTATGACAAGCACAGCACAGCAGGTGATTGACCATAATAGCCCTTTGCTCCAGGTCGAGCGCACTTCTACAGGAGCTTGTTGACTGTCGCACAACACACTTTCCCTGCTGCTTGACATGGCTATGTTGCCCTGCTGAAAGAAGAGACGGTCAGAGATCTCTCTTAGGTGATGACGGTGCTAATAGCGCACAAGCTTTGCTTCGGAGAGGTAAATAGCTTGCGCACATTTAAATCAATGATGCTGGGGACTTGGCAGGACGTGGGCCGTGTGGACATTGTCTTCACTACGTACGGCACCTTCGGGACACACCCTGAGAACCGTTACCTGTTGGTAACGTGCCTGGACTCACAATCAAAAAGCTGCAGCGCGCTGAGAACACCACATGCAGAGCTGAGGGCACTTTATGTCCCTCACCTGATTCTGGCAACGAAAGAGAAGTTATGCTCGGAAATCCTCCGCTTCCCCTTGCCTTAATTTTTTGACCTCCCACAAAGATATGCTAGCCGTTAACCGGTCACACCTTCTTAAGCTACCTTCTTTTTTATCGCCCCACACATCCGGGTCGCCTCATGTTGACATCCTCCGTCTTGGACGTTTGACAGCCGAAGTTGCCACCTTCGTGAATGTGTTTACATTGTGCTTTGCCTCGCAGTCGCAGAAGTTGCTTTTATATTGTGTTTTCCTTGCTTGATACTGATATCCTCTCATTCTCGCACCAATCTTGTATCTTGAGGCGCATAAAGGCGCGAAGCCTTTTCCGCGCATGCCATCTTGATGCGATCTTGAGCTACGACTGTGCGCGTTTGAAACTTATTGATGGCCATCACGACGGCGGACGCTGGCATTAATTTCTAGGTCATTATCTTCCCTTCCACGTAACAAGTGCAATGTAATATACCGAAAATGACATCGTAACTGCATTTAGCAGCAGCACGACTGCCGCGATTGCGACGCTGCGCATCCAGACCAAGACGGGAACGCAGGCGACGGCGAAGGTGCATCTCATATACCCGGGCCTCCACAAGGGCCACGTCTTCCCTCAGAAGGGCGTGGCGGCAGCAGATGCCTCCCTGAGTCTGGCGTTGCAGAGGGCGTTGGACGACGTCATGGTGGCCATCTTCACTAACCACACCAATGGCCGCCGGGTAATCGCGTGTGAGCTCTCCAGCGTGGGCCAAAAGTGAAGCCCTCGGGTCGTTGCACCGGAGGGTCACACCATCCACGGCAGGCGGGGAAAGAAGAAGAGCCGACACTACCGGCCAACGTCGTGCCCCTCCGCCATAGACATGACGATAGTACGGACCACCACCGCCGCCGCCAAGGACAACACTACGATCACTAGACTGGCGGAGACAGAGCCAAAGTCCCTCAAGGTGGTCTTCTCCCGACTCCACAACCACAGCTGCGTCGACCTGGACCTGCGACGCCACGTGGATCCCCGTGTCCTCGAGTGGCTCCACGCCCGCTTCGCCGCGGGAGAGTGCTCTGCCCAAGCTATCAGGGCAGAGATGGAGAAGAACCGGGAAAAGGACGGTGATATCGGCCAACACAGACAGAATCTAAGCCTACCAAAGGTGCAGCGGCTGATGGGGGAGTGGTTCCGGGGAAGGTATGAAAGTGAGCTGCTGGCGGGTTGCCAGGACCTCGCCCAGCATCACTTCGATGACCTTAACAGTGGGATGGAAGCCAAGAAGGGGAAAGTAGTCTTCAAGCGCGCAGGCGCTCTCTCCACGTTTTGCGACCACTTTGCGAGTGGGGACCCAGTGCATAGCAAGGACCGGGACAATGGCTGAGCGATTGCCATTGTCCTGTCTTTCATGACCCGTGTGCACGAGCGAGTACAGCAGGCAGGCGAGACACATTGATGGGACGTTCAACGTCACGAATCACACGGAATTGAAGATTGCCACGTTGGTGACGATGACGCCGAGGGGCATGCCCCCGAGTGGTGTACCGCACATCAGCCACACGAGCCTTACTTTCGGGTGGTTCGTGACGTTGAACATCCCGTCACTGATTAGTGTCTCGCCTGACTGCTGTACTCGCTCGTGCACGCGTCGCAGGTCCAGGTCGACGCAGCTGTGGTTGTGGAGTCGGGAGAAGACCACCTTAAGGGACTTTGGCTCTGTCTCCGCCAGTCTAAGTGATCGTGGTGTTGTCCTTGGCGGCGGCGGTGGTGGTCCGTACTATCGTCATGTCTATGGCGGAGGGGCACGACGTTGGCCGGTAGTGTCGGCTCTTCTTCTTTCCCCGCCTGCCGTGGATGGTGTGACCCTCCGGTGCAACGACCCGAGGGCTTCACTTTTGGCCAACGCCGGAGAGCTCGCACGCGATCACCCGGCGGCCATTGGTGTGGTTAGTGAAGATGGCCACCATGATGTCGTCCAACGCCCTCTGCAACGCCAGACTCAGGGAGGCATCTGCTGCCGCCACGCCCTTCTGAGGGAAGACGTGACCCTCCTCAAGCGCCCGGTGGAGGCCCGGGTATAAAAGATGAAACTCCATGTGAAATTTCCATTTCACGCGGGGGAGAGTCGACCTGGGTGGGGTGGGAGGGACGATGGTGAGAAAAGGCACGAGCGGCCGGTCTTTCTCCATAGCCATCAACACGCACTTCCCTATCCGAAGTGGGATTTTTAACGTACCATGATTCTATCGGCCGCAGTGGCACGCGTGTCTTGTCGTGCTTGATTGTCACGACAACATCCCCTCGGCCCTTCCCCTCCGGCAGGACCAGCACCTTGTCCGTCAGCAGCTTCTTACCGCCTCCCCCACCAGGTCTTGAAGAGCGCTGTCCGCCATCTGCCGCCAGGCTTCCGGCAGCTCCGAGAGCGAGACCATGGTTCCAAGTAAGGCGTCGCGCCTGTCGCCGAAGTCTCCCCTCTTCACTAGGTAAAGCCGCCTCCTATCGCGGGGGAAGGGCGTGACCTCGTTGGGATTCTTGACTTCGACGGGCGACACCCACGGCGCCTCCACACCCTCCATAGCGCTTCCTGTAGATGGAATTTCCCCTTGAAGGGGGCTGTCTCGGGCACCTGGTGGATGAATTTTTTGAAGAGAGGGTCGACTCGTCAGGCTGTACAGGGCGAGGGGGAGGACGCACACGCAATCCCAGTCCTGTCTCAACTCACCAGCAGATACACGTACTGCACGACGTAAAGATGCGTTGCACTGTCGCCCTTATCTACGACGGTGAGGTACTCCCCCACGCCCAGCGCCTGGACTATCTCCGCTACCCGCCGGATAAGGGCCTGGCCCCGCTGGAAGGGGTCAAGAGCCTCCGCCCACTGGTTTCTGTATATGTCTGCATGGTATGACATAGAGAGCGTGAGTCATTCTTCAGCACGAAGACGCAGGGCTGGCGGGGACGCTCGCTCAGCCTTCTCCTATCACGTTATCGCTCCCTCCCTCCCTCCCTCCACTCACCGTTACGGAAGCCACATGTCTGCGCAAGTCCCGAACACATCAGCACAAAAAGGTAATTTTGTAGCCTCTTTGCTCACCCAGGGCAGACACGTCTTGGCAAATACGTGTTGGCGGCATGGGCACCTTCACCGTCGTCTCCGTCACCTTCTCGATCCCGATGCGCAGTGTCGCAATCGCGGCAGTCGTGCTGCTGCTAAATGCAGTTACGATGTCATTTTCGGTATATTACATTGCACTTGTTACGTGGAAGGGAAGATAATGACCTAGAAATTAATGCCAGCGTCCGCCGTCGTGATGGCCATCAATAAGTTTCAAACGCGCACAGTCGTAGCTCAAGATCGCATCAAGATGGCATGCGCGGAAAAGGCTTCGCACCTTTATGCGCCGTCACATGAAGGTTCAAGATACAAGATCGGTGCGAGAATGAGAGGATATCAGTATCAAGCAAGGAAAACACAATATAAAAGCAACTTCTGCGACTGCGAGGCAAAGCACAATGTAAACACATTCACGAAGGTGGCAACTTCGGCTGTCAAACGTCCCAAGACGGAGGATGTCAACATGAGGCGACCCGGATGTGTGGGGCGAATGTAGAGGTGACCCCGCTTGCTGCCGCTCGCCATCGCCGTCGAAGGTTTTCGCCGCTTTTTTTCCCCTTGTTACATTGCTGTTTGCCAGCGAACTTTTGTGAGAAGAGAAATCAACCCTCTAGCAACTTTTTTTGTGTACGGTGAAAGGAATCTTCACATCTGTAGCATTTGCTGTGGCAACATTGGTGGCGAATGCTTGATTGCCGCCTTCCAAGAGAGCCAAGGACGACACAGTGTCTTAAGGCAATAAAAGTCATTTCATTCTTATGTTGTCAACATTGTCAATGTTCCGTTGTCGAACGCAACTCATGCCGCGTAAAAAATGCTCACATGCATAGGGCATAGTATCACGTTGGCGCCGTCTGTTGCTGCTTTCGCTTCAAGCGCTGACACCTTTTCCCAAAAATGACAGAGCGTCCAAGCACGACGGACATATGACATTCCTAATGATGGCCAGAAATTCT